CCCCTGGTTTCCATGGCAATAATCGATTATTTAAAAATTTTAAGTGCGAATCGCACAACTACAGATACTAATCATTAAAATAAGAAAAGTTTCATGACGAACATGAGAGATCACCTATAACCTTGTGGTCTGGGGGCCATAACATCCAATCTTCATCTGAAGTCATCAGTCTGAATCCCTCACGTGTACTTCCACTTTTCATTCTATCAAGTCTCTTCATGATATACAAAGGTTTCTTCACTACCTCCATAATGTCCATCACTTCTCTCCTGATCCTTACCTCTGTAGGAGTTCCTACCTGATAACAAAGTCCTACGTACATCAATTCTGATAGGCGAGCTATGTGATTCATCCCGATATATTATGAGAATCAAAAGAAGCACGTCTGAAAATTAAATGATTTCATACATAATTTTTGTCCTTTTAATTTCTTCAATATATAGAAAAGGTGCTTATCTATGAATCATTGTTTTAACTGGCGTTTTGTTTTGTTTTCACTATGCAATATATGGAGATAACAAATGGAATGTTATCAATCTTTGTAACAGATACGAACACATTACTTTAATGAATAAACCTTATTATATTTTATATTGAGATAGAATAGAATATTATAAAGTAATATATCAAAGCTTTAGTTTTGTAAACACTCTATAATCAGTTAATAAAACAAACAATGAGCACAATACGAACAGTTGACAAAATCAACAGAAGCACGTAGATTAAGTGACAGGGTAATGGTAGGGAATGCTTTTAAGACATACATGAATTATTAGGAGATAACTATCAATATTATTTAAGGAATGCATGCATTGAGGTGGTGAAAAACCTATTTCATCTTTTAAGTCTGTCAATTAGTAGACTAACATCTTTACAAATTTGTAATAAAACACTACCTACCGGTACCTGTTTCCTAAACGTCCTGATAAGATATCTTTTTTCAAATGGAAATATTCAACCTTAAATTTACTTTCGGTTTGTACTATTCAGCCCTTTACCTGTACTCTATTTCTGGAAACCAATGACAAATCTGTATCACTGTTCTTAGTTATAAAATAATATCGATTTCTAATAACGTAGATCCCATTACTGGTAAATCGAGAAAACATCATTTGATATTTCACTAAATTGAATCTTTAAATGACGAAAGAATAGAAGTATTTTGAAGGAAAATATTTAAGATTTTTTTTAACATGAACACTGAAGTTTATATTTCATTATTATAATATTTCAGAAAAAAAATGTCGCCATGCTTAGACAAATCATTAACAAAAAAATCGCTGATACCTTGTATAAATCTTTATAAAAATTTGCACATACCAAGACACAGTTTAAATTTAGTATCCTTAAGAACTCCAATGTAATATTTTAGTTTTATTCGCTAAAATGTTGTTTCAATATTCTATTATCTAGAGAGCTTTTCTTTAATTTTCATATCAATAATTACTCACTTATTGGTTTGATTATGGAGTTCTCTGTATAAAACAGAAACACATTTTTTTTAAATGAAATATATTTTTATTTGAAAGAAAATAACATCTATACGCGATGCAATTCTGGAAACATCTAGCAAACGAAAATGAACATTTGACAACGTTCCTTTTCCAATCGTTTAGAACATTATTAAACTGTGAGAGATATGACTTTTTTCTATAATTAAGTTAGATAAAGTGTATTTAAAAACTGAAGAAAAATGAGGAAATATAAGCTCTATTGGACTGTTATGGGGAGCGCTGACTGTTGAAGTTGACGGCCTACTTCTACACTACTTCTACACAAGGACAATGAACGGAAGCTCTTCTTCGATATAAATATTCAGCTCAACATTTAATTAAATGAGAATAACGGGTTAATTTCAATGAGAACAAACTTTTGACCTTGAAGAAAACGACAACCACCCTTCCCTCAACTCCAGGCCTTCACATGTTAATGCTCAAAACAACATGCCTATGACCACTAGAAAGGTTTTCAAATCTTTTATCAATGCTGTACCTCCGTACATGTTACAGGTTAAATGTTACATGTAAAGTCCGTTCTTTCCGCAAAAGTCCACACCTGGTGATGATGGGAAATCTATTTCACTACCGCGCTACTTGCAATGCAATGCATTCACGTTATTTTTAGAAATCTACAGTGAAATATTGCCCACATAACAATTTGCAAGTGAAGTTGAAATGACCCAAGCTAGTCCTGGTAAACGAGAGTTTGATTCCTTTCACTGTATGTCTAAAACTTAAAACCTTTAAAAATTACCGCCCGAAAACCATACAAAGCATACCTGAATTCCTTACAAGCATTAGAAATCGCTAGATTTATATAGAAACCCACAAAATCATCATAGAGTGAATCCGGAAAAAAAAATCAACGGAACCCGAAGTGCTCTTCCTTCTATGTCAGACAAAAGGAGTGGTAAAGGCATGTTAGGAGATGTTATGTCATTTTTTCGGCAAGGCACAGGCAATTTTCGATTAGCCCTTTTGCCATCCAAATCTCAACCCTAACTAGCATGTAAAGGACAAGATATACTAGATTGCAAGAAATCTTTTCCAGCAGCAGAATCTAGCATGAAAAAGGGACGAACTAGTCAACACATGGAAAAACATTCAATAATTAATTAATTTTTCAGAATAGTGTGAACTCTTTCAGAAACGATTTTTCTTGCTGCATACTCGTTTGAATGGAGGATAACTTTCAGTATTCAAGTGTATATTTGGATGGAAATGACGTGAATCTAGTTTTTATCAACTAATTCTTTTCTTATACCTTTTATTGTCTTACAAAAGAAGGTTAGCTGATGAGGATTTCGTCGTAGAAAAGGGCATGTTAGTTGTGTAAACAAAACAGATTTCTCTGGATGGACCCCACTAGATGTAAGTCATCCTCGGAGGCGCTACTAAGGGTCAAGGTCGTCAGAGACAAGTGAAAGAGACATCGAATCTTTACTTAATCACGGACGGGATTCTTTAATAAATTACAAAAAACGAAGTAAATTTATATTGTCATAGATCATCTTTGTTTGTGGATGATGTATTCACCAGTCTATTTCATCATGCGATTAATAATGAAGACTAATTTCGAATATTTACATGTATATTAGATTTCTTATGTGGTATATTTGTTTATTTATTTTATTCGCTCTTCCCTTTACATTCGTTCTTGTCATCTTTTTTTTCTTTAACTGACCTTTGTAAATTCATCGAAAGGTGTAATTGATTAGGAAAATTCAATTTAACCTGATTTGGGTTTGTTATATACCCCAATACAAATTTCCTTCAATCTTAAAGGATGCAGAATAAAAATGAATTATATCATTATACTATTATCTTCATCATATATTTACTTTCTAAAAATATTTTAATTATTTAGGACGTTTCAAGTAAAATTGACAGCAAGAAAAAAACCAATACTTTCTACATGGAAAGGAAGTTTTTGTTAATATTGCTATTTAATCAATATCGTCGTTAGGCTTTAATAAGTGGATGACCCCGTTATAACAGTTTTTCATTGCTGATTGTAAACGACGACAAAAATTGCCTTATATATTATGTATATTTACATATAATATGAATGAGCCTGTGTGAAGACGCACGATGTTATATTGTGTTTTTCACTTTGGAAAGCACTTTTAAGACAGATTATACAAAAAAAATGGATACATTTTTTGGTCTAATTTCATTGAAAATGATGCAAATAATAAATATTTAGAACATAGAAAAATTGTTAACCTTCATTAAAAGTTCTACCTCTAAAAACATGCTTATTAACCTATACAAATATTTTCCCCTTCAAATCACATTATTGTGAAATTTTCAATAAAAAATTAAAAACTTCGCGGTGAAACTCATTCATTTTACTCATTAAAACATGTCTCAAGTAGTTAATTTCACATTTTTGACGTCAAAAGTTTGTTTGTATCATCTTTCCTTAATCAAGTCGGTTTTGTTATATGCTGCTTATACTTCTATTCGTTGCAATATTAAGACAAGAAACATTAAAAATAATTTTGATAATTAAGCCCTTGTTACTTTCATCTTGTATTGGTGTTTGTCCAAACTCACATGTAACGAATATAAAAGTACTGTAATCCATCTTAAATATGGACATCCTCTCTTTTGTGACGCCATAAAACAAAGACGCTGCCAAATAAAAATCTACCAATATTATTAACGTACTAACCTACTTACTTACTTAGGCCTGTCGTTCCGTGAGGAACATAGGCCATCAACAACAGTCCTCAAACGAACACGATTTTGAGCTGCTCTGGCTGCATCGTGCCAGGTCATATCCTGTGCTCTTAACTCCGACTCCGAGTTACACCACCAGGTGTTTCTAGGTCGTCCTCTTTTTCTTTTGCCCTGTAGGTTCTAAGTCAGGGCCTGGCGTGTGATGCTGGATGGTGACTTCCTTAGTGTGTGTCCAACCCAGCCCCACTTCCTCTGTTTTATTTGTACCTCCATTGGTTCCTGTCCTGCTCTCATCCATAGTTCTTCGTCTGAGATCCTGTCAGGCCATCAGATATTGAAGATGCTTCTGAGACAGGTGTTGTAAAATGTCTGGATCTTCTGCAGGGTAGCTTTAGTCATCCTCCACGTCCCTGCACCATACAATAGGACGGACTTTACATTAGAGTTGAGGATCCGCAGTTTGGTTGCAGTACGTATGTTCTTTGAAGCCCAGATGTTCTTTAAAATGGTGAATGCAGTCCTAGCCTTGCCAATTCTTGACTTGATGCCGTAGTCTGTGCCACCGTGTCTGTCCACCACACTCTCTAGGTAGATGAAGGATACAACTTCTTTGATGGCCTCACCACCAACTGTGACTGGTGTCTGGACAGTGGTGTTTATCTTCATCAATTCTGTTTTCTTCAAATTGATTTTGAGGCCCGTTCCTGCCGATGTTGTTGCAAGGTGGGTTGTTTTATCCTACATCTGGCTTTGGTTGTGTGAAAGGAGAGCCAAGTCATCTGCAAAATCAAGGTCGTCGAGTTCCTTCAGGAGTGTCTACTGTATGCCATTGTTCCTGCCTGCTGAGGTTGTCCTCATGATCCAATCGATGACCAAGAGAAAAAGAAATGGTGACAGCAAGCATCCTTGTCGGACTCCTGTCTTGACCTCGAAACTCTCAGACATCTGGCCAGCATGGGTAACTCTGTATATCATGCCTTGGTAGGTGTTTCGAATCAGGGAGACTAGCTTCTCTGGTACTCTATAGTGCCTCAGTATCTTCCACAATGTCTCTCGGTCTACACTGTCAAAAGCTTTTTCATAGTCGATGAAGTTTACATATAGGGGGGACTTCCACTCCAGTGATTGTTCTATAATGATGCGCAGACTGGCTATCTGGTCAGCACATGATCTGTTGGCTCTAAAAACTCATAAACTGCTACTAAATATTTAGAAAAGAATACGGAATGCCAAATTTTACCTCAGCTTAAGTAACATTTTGTTTTATCATGAATTCAAGAAATCCTGCCTTCGGACCTAATAATTCATTTCGGGAGTGTGAAACAACAAAGTACTGGGTAATATTTTAGTTCTTCTTGAATTGGTTTTATTTCAATGTTTCAGATACCATCAGACTCATTATGGACTTTGATGCTCGACAATCAGCGGTGAACAAACGCAAACGTATGTATATGAATAAAAATATTGTTCAGGAATAATATTGTTTGGATGATATACATTTAAATTTTATTATATAATACAAAAGATTTTTGAGGAGGTAAAATGAGTCCATGGAGACTTAGTTTATTTAGGTATGACTAAATAGAGTTAGGATTATTCTAAAATATAATATTTTTTTTAATTAAACGGTATTTTGCCTTTTTATCTTTCATGGCATTGTGATATGTTATATAAATTACTAAGTCTAAAATAGTGTATTATTGTCTTTTGTAAATCGAAATGTCTATAACTATCTGTATAAATGATTTTAATAACAGGGTCATGCGAGAGGAATATGAATTTGTAGAAAAGAAACTGAAGCTTCAATCTGAAACAGATCCGAATGGTTTGTTAGGTATTCCCTCACTACAAAATCCCATTTATCATGAAAAAGAAATTCCTCTCGATCAACAAGTATTCGAAATCCATTCAATCAAGCATGAAACAGAATTAAATATTCAGCATGAAAGAGGAAATAAGGACGACTTGGCTTCCGACTGTTTAAGAGAAATGAATGAATTTGTTGCCTAGTCCATTCAAAGTAAAGAAATATACTGACACGCAAAAGAAACGCAACAAGTAGTAATCTACAAATGTTTGATTTTTTTAGCTAATGATTTTCAAAAAAGAATACAGTAAGGCCAAACTCACTTTTCAGAACATCAGAGATTTGATATAAATTTTATATGTTTATCTTTTAACTTTACTAAGTAAAATATGACTGTTAAAACACCCCCCTCCAAGCTATTGCATTACAACGTGCAAGACTGTCTTAAACAACAACTGCAGCTTAATTTCTACGGTACAATAGGCTA